CAAGGAGCCAAGGCCAGAACAAGAAGTAAGGCTTGATGCTGAAGTGAGAAGGGAACCTGAGCAATAGCCTAAGGGATAGTTGAGTAGGCTAGCAACCTCCTATGCTTCAGGGAGCAGGCTAATGATCGATAGGAAAGATCAGAAGATTCCCATGGATTGGGTTTGGAGGACTTTTTTGTAGTTAAATCTGCCAAACTTTATTGAAGTATGAAGAAAAGAGAAGTAGAGAATTGGATCGAGAGGATGGAAACAATCTTCAAAGTTACTCTATGTTCTTCTGAGCAAAAAGTAGTATTAACCACAGTGCAACTGATAGAACATGAAAAGCATTGGTGGCATTTCGTAAGGCCTTTTAATGGTAGTCAACTTAGCTAGGAGTAGTTCAAGGAGAAATTCTTTGACTACCATTTCCCTACAACATCTTGAGATGAAAAGGAAGTTGAGTTTTATACTTTTCAGTAGGGAGATATGGATGAAGAAGATTTTATGAAGAAATTTAATCAACTTTCAAAATTTGTAACTTATCTAATTGAGCAGGATGATAGTTAGTAGAAAGCAAAGAGATTGGTTGAGAAGATGTGTCCAAAGTATAGAAGGCAGATAGCCTTACTAGGAGAGGCTACTTATGAAGAGACATGCAATAAGCTTCATATATTGGCAAGACAGGTTAGAGAGGTAGAATTTGAGAAGAGAAGAGACAGCTATGGGCAATTTTCTGCTCCATTATACCTGACTAGAAGGATATGAAAATGGAATAGCTCTAGTGTAAGTGGTTCTAGATCCTTAGGCAAGAGGGTTTTTAGTAGAAGATCACAATCTCGAGGGGTGATTAGCCAAAGAAGTAGAATTAGTGTGTGTTTAGTTCTCAGTTTTCCAAAAGTTCATTTAATGAAAGTCCATTTGTTAAAACTTAGTTTAGTGAAAATAAGTTGTTGTAATAAAATTTATGTTTGGATATATTTTTTTAAAAGTTAGTTTGGTACACTAAAAGTTATTTGGATTATGATAGTGAAATGTACTTTTGAATGTACAATTACTAAAAAGGACATTGACTTATGATGATTTCTAATGTTTATTATACAAATGTAATAGATTTGAAATATTTAAAAAATGTGATAAATATTTTAAATAATATAAAATTTGATCCATAATGCTAAAAACATAATCTCTAGTTATTTGTACTATTTTAATTTGTAATTTTAGAAAGCTACTATGACAGCAAAATCTAATACATACGCCACGGTATATGGTGTGTAAGCTAAGGTGGATGACTGTAGCATCTTGAATTTCCTAATCCTGTGATTAGTTGTTAATCGAGGGTAAAGTGGTAATTAGTGTGGGATTAGAGATTTGAATAGTTATGTGGTGATTTAATTTATTGGGATGTTGTATGAACAGACACGAGTGAAAGGATTATGTTTCGAGTCAAAGCAAATACGTGTGAAGAGAATTCTTCTCCTTGTGCCATACATTGCGACTTATGTTGCATGTGCCAAGGTACATGAACTAGAAAATGACCCCTTAAGTCATGAAATTTGGGTGATTTTCAGAAGGAAGAAATCAAAAATGGATGAGAGGAGAAGAGGAGAAGGGTTGATGTGTTAGGCAAGCCATTCTCGATTATTAAAAGGTGCTTCTGATCAATAACATACAGGGTAAGCTATATATAACTATTACCTTCAATTCTACACAAATTTCTTAAAAATGAGTAATAAAGAAATTGAATCGGTGAAGTTTGAGGGGTTTGATTCTTACCTAATAATAATAAAAAGGTTCTCAGGAGTTAAATTAGAGCTTTACGACTAGTTTAAAGCTGAATGATAAAGCTTTAAACCCGTAGGCTCAATTCGGCCCTAAAAGAGATAGATTTTAGGGTAAAAATTTAGTTTAAATGAAATGAGATCAGTTGAGGTAATGTAAAGTAGTAACCGAGTAGTAATGGATATAAGATGGATAAATGGAAAAGGATTTATGGCTGAATATAGCCATAAGTATTAAATATGTATTTTTGGTCAGATGAGACCAAAATGACTAAATTGTGCCAAATGTGTTCAGATTGGCATATTGAATGTGTGAGTTGAGAAAGAAAGCTTCTAATAAGCTATAGTGGTGGTTGAAATCCACAAGTAACCTTTCTAGTGACAAAAGGGTTAAGGTAACTAAATAACTTTCTTTATCTGACAATTTGTTGTAACTCTGTGTGAGTATTGTGTATAGTGCATGAAATGGTTTTCAATTAAGCATGATTTATAGCATTGTGTGAATGTTGCATAAAAATGGTTTTAAGCAAAGAAATGAGTAAGAAAATATGATTTCATATGGTATGTATATATAAGTATGTTATGTAGGAGAAAGTATTTAAAGTGGTGATTTAAAACTTATGAATGATTCGGAAAGCATGATCAAAGGGGTGGGAGTTTACCTAAGTAAAAAGGTGATGATAAGACCATATGGTATATTCTCTTTAGTGTCCGACAGGGTATAGTATTGGAGAATTATA